CCTGGAAGAAAATCATTGTATTTTGGGATCTATATTGGGGTCCCCCTATTTTGGGAAACTACCATTGTAAATCTTTAGGATGCTCTATAACAGCATGCGGCAGGCAGTTTATTGGAGACATGGGTATGTTGCTGGGCCTGGTGGCTTGCAAGTTCTCACTGAAACCAAGTGAGCTATAGTCTAAACTCCTAGTATCCCCCTTAATAAGCCCTATGATAGTCCCCTATATAATCCCCTACATAACCCCCCTTAAGGAGTTTAGACTCTAGCTCAAGTACTGGCTTAGAAGAGGCTAGACTAGCCATGCAGGAGTTTAAAAAAAAGGCTGTTGCGTTGCAAAGGTTTTCTCTGTGGGAAAGACTGTAACACCACAAGAAGCCAGAACAGCAATCCCGGAGTAATAAGGAAAGGTTGTGGATTTGCGATGTTCTTCTTTCTGCGGGACGGAAGAACTCAGGCTTAACCATAAACCTTTCACGTGCTGTCTCTCGGGACCGCGCCTCGTCCTCATCTAGGATGAGGTGAAGGGCCTCGGGGGGGGTACCAACAAGATGGCAGGCGCACAAGAATGACCACAACAACGCTGCGAGCGCATGTCACTCGCAGAACGGGTATGTAGCAACACTCGAAAGACTACGCATAGTGTAAGCCATGTAAAGAAGAGGAACAAGAAGTTACTTAGCCCCGACCTTGGCGCACAGCGTGCATGGGAAGCGACATGTGAAATGCTGAGGCACAGGCTGCATCTTTCAGATGGCGACTGCCTTCTCTCTTGGGGCATGCACATTGCATCATTACTAGGCTTGGAGTTAATGCCACTCATGCTCCATCTTCTACCACAGGCTTACTGGTCAGATCTAGATCATTGACCGCCCTGTCATGCTCTACAATTGGCTTTTATGTAGAGATTATGAGCGTTTCCCATCGCTTTGGACAGCATGCGCTTGGTCAGAACTGAACCTTCACCGGCCACAGACCGCAGGGCATCCAAAGCGGCCAATCGGACCTCGCCAAATCCAGACTGCAGGCAAACTTGTGGCTTCCAGAAGCATGTCCCCGTTGTCGTACCGATTTTGAGAACAAGAACGCGGAATTATGCGGAGACCATCATTTTTCAAAGGACCCATACAACGTATCCGAGCAAAAGCAAACAACGTCGTGATGCTGCATGAAAAGGCACCGCGGAAGCTGGACCATGCAGAAATCTCCTCGATCCAAGTACTTCATCACAGTTGTGTTAAGCTGGGTTGGCCCCTAAAGCCCTTTGTAAAATATTAGTATATAGGGCCCCTTATGAAAGCCATTAGGGCAAATATTCAATATTTCAGGGGCCTACCCAGTAAGAAGCCCTGAACACTGTAAAGCCCCACCGCTCCCGACAGTTCCCAGTAGTCAGCAAAATATACCCGCCCACATGGGTGGTTGTCAAAATTATGGTCGCTTTTTGGGTACCCAAATATTAAGTGCCGTATTATAATAGGGATCCAAAAAGGGACCATAATTTTGACAATCACCCACATGATGGCAGTGACCCGGCAACATTCTGGACCGAATTGACTTGTCGACAAGCATCAAGTCGCAGACATACTGGTGCTTATGTAGTAGGGAATAAGGAAATATGATCCCTATATATTGTCCCTATATACTATATTCCCTAATTCCCCACAATAAAATTATTATCCTTATAATGTGATCACTATATAGTCCCCGTGAACTATATTCCATATTGCCTACTAACAACCAGTAAGTTGGGGCAGCCACGCTGGGGTCCACATCCTCCTTGGCAACCTTCATGAGCCTCAGCGCCACTCGGCCCAACTCCAAACAGCAAAGAAACCTTCTTCAAGGCCAGCCTAGCAAGCACAGTACTGAGGAGAACTTTTTGCTCACGGCCTCAATTGATTCAGCTTTTCTCGAGCGCCTGGCCAGCAGAGCCACAGCTTTCAGTTTAACCTCATCATCCTCATCGCTGCTTTTGGCGGCTGTGGCTTTCACCTCCGTCCGGTCTTCGTCACGCCGATGGCTGCGCTTCTTCGCACCCCGCTGCTGTCTTGGCGGAGCGCCAGCTGCGTGTGAGTCCAGCTCGTCCATGCCTGGACCATGCAGCTGCAACAAGGCCTCAGCAACACAGGGATAGGGGGGTGTATGGGAATATTCAGATGGAAGATGATGGAAGCATCAGGTAAGGATGTCAGGACTTCTCTTGGGCATCGATATCATCTTGAGGTCTTTCTGAAGGCGCTCATGCTGTAGTTATGCAGGGAATGTAGGTAGAACCATCACACCTATAACTGTTTAGGTTCCAACCCTGTGTTCGTGCAAGGGTAGGCCTAGGCTACACTGGCCTCTTGAAGATCCATTTTTTAATGTAGGGGCCTGAATGACTACACATGAGCCATAGTCTAAACTCCCAGTATCCCCCTTAGCATACCCTATAATAGTCCCCTGTATAACCCCCTTTAAAGAGTTCAGACTATGGGTCATAGGACTACCAATATCAGTTTGAAGTCCATTTGATGTACCCTCTAATGACTATAGTCTCCCTTAAGTAGATAGAATATGTTTTTATAACATACCCAAGGCCATACTCTATCTACTTAAGGGTGACGAAACACTCACACAAGGAATCCAGGGCCAGAATGTAAGGTGCTTACGTATTTAGGCTCCTGTATCCTGTATTTCAAGGGCCATCCACGCAAAAGCCGATTGAATCACCCTACAATGCATCCGTTAACCAGCAATCCTTATGAAGCATAGACCCTTTTGGTTCGTATCACTTTCACCCTAAAACTTATATCCTCCCCCAGACCCCTAACCCCAAAAGCCTAAACCCTAAATAGTAGTTTCCATTTTCTGTTCCATTATCCCTATATTGCCCTAAGTCCCTTTTGCCGGCCTTCTGCCTCTTTTGCTGCATGTCCAGCTGCTGCTTCCGGAGGAGGGGTGCACAGGACCGGAGCAGCTCCCAGTGCTCAAGGGCAAAAGGCAAGTACCTTACTTGGAGGGCCAGGGTGATTTACTAGTGATACTAGTGATCATGGAAAAGAAAGTGGAAACTACTATATATCATTTAGGGTCTAGGGTTTAGGGTCAGGGGGATTTAGTAAGAGTTCCCAGGCGGATATGCGCGTTTCTGAGAATGAGGGTGTCTCTTTTGTGGGGGGTCCCTAGGATAAGGATTCTAGCATGTGGGGTCTGTATTGGGGGCCTCAATTTATGGACATGCCGTTTCTTCAACTCAAAATCTGAATCTGTCTTCAGGCTCTTTGCCAGTAAGGCTTAAGGTGTGTGTGTGTGTATATATGTATAACTAAATCCCCTATGGGATGATGCATGCTTGCAGGATTTGTATGTTTTCAAAATACAGGGATCCCAATATAGACCCCAAAATGCTCACAGTCCTCACTATGGGGACCAATGAAATTAGTCGCCACAATTTTCGGAAACCCCATTCAGTGTTATAGTCCCCCTCAAGTAGATAGAATATGGCTTTGGGTAATAAGATCCTCATATACCCCATATTCTATCTACTTAAGGGGGACGATAGGGGTTGGGGGTTCCCTAAGCCCTAAACCCTTTCTCTACATCATATTAGGCTTAGGATTCTTACTTTCAACCCTACGCCTTGACCAAGCTGAAGCTGAGCCCATGACCTCTGGATGCCTGGGGGCTTAGGGTATAGGGCTTAGGGCTTAGGATTTGTTTTAAAGGTCCGAAACCCTAAACCCTAACCCTAAACCCTAAACCGGGGTTTAAGGCAAAGTTTGGGTTTAGAGTTCCCGTAGCAAGTGCTACCCCTCAATCATAACCTCGCCCAATAGAGTACCATTATACATTGGTGGGAGTAGTCATTTTTAGGAGGGCAGAGGGGTCATTCTTGGGGGGAAGCAGTTAATGGGCTAAGGCCTAAGGTCGGGTGTGCTTTGCCTATGTAGGTTCCTCAAAACAGAACCCGCCTGAAAGTCAAAGTGCTTCGGGTTTCTCAAAAGCAGGGTTGTGCTGAGCCAGGTAGGCTAGGTTTTAGGCTTAGGTTATATAGGGGTTCAAGTTTTAGGATTGTTGTGATGTGCCAAAAAAGGGGATTCAGAATTTCTCAGGTGCTTCTGCTTAAAAGCGCACAATTTTTGCACACCCGCTTTGAATATGGACCTGCATAAGCCCTTTCAATCCCCGTATACATCTGAGGCCCCCAAATGCTGGTTGACACTCTGAAGGGTAGCCCCTAAACCCTAAACCTTAAACCCTAAACCCTGGCCGTGAGCCCTGACCTGCGAGGAGGTCTTGGAATTATTTCACACTTCGCAACTCCACAACTATCGTGCCCCTCCCGAAGCAGTTCGCATGGGTCCGTCAAGAAGGCTTTGCTTTTCGGTCTTTATGCCCAAAACACCCGAACTAAGGAACGATCAGGAGCTGCAAGGGGTAAAAAGATCCATGCACCTCGCGTCGAGTTGCACATGTAAGTTCTCGATTGTGATCATGTGGCCCCATGGCAGATGTGTCATCACCGAGAGGATCAACTGCTTGATCTCCTTTTTTGCATGGCCCTGTCTCAGTTCATTAAAGAAATGGGGCAAATTGATGTAGGGACTGGCATTGTAAGAAGAACCGCGCTGTAGGGAAGATATGAGAGCGAATTCAGGGAAATCCCCATATGTCAAAGATTCCATAAGAAGGATAGTGCATAGAACGGACTATAGATGCTTCTCACTAGACTGGAACATACTGAATCCTTCCTGCCCCTGTGTTTGCAAAAGATCTTCTCCTGAATGCGCTTTTTCACTGTACCAGCACCAATAGCCAGAAAGTCGGCGACCTGACGTGATCTCCAGGCTGAAAGCACTGCAAAGTAACATTGAAGCATGACAAGACCAATGACAGTAATATGTTGTTGAAGAGAGCCCCGCAAGATCCCATAAGCTGTAGCCCCAGAAGTCCTATATAAGAGGTCTGTACTGTGTACTCAGGGTCATGTAGGATTGAGCCAACAGCCGTAGCATAAGAGCAGTTGTTAAGCATGAGCAGGAGGCTTCTTCGACGTCCAGCTCGTAGAAGTACGCCCGTGCTGCCAAGACAAACGCGGCCGCTACCACGAAAGCCCACTTGCGCCCAGTACAGATCCAGCCTGTGAAATGTGCCAAAGTACAGTGGATTTCTTGCAGAAACGGAAATGGCGCTTGTCAGGTGCCAAGTGCTGAACAACTGCTGTATAAGCTCCAACCGCTAATATGAAGGCCACCACCAAAGGAATAGAGGTGCACGTTTTAAGGCCTGTGGTGGGATACCACCAGATTCCACCTTTAAGTTTTCACATTGGCAACCGTAGCTCATATGTCATAAGCGAAGCTTCAGTGCTACTGGCACGAGAATTCCGATACCTTTATCTTACCGGTTCTTAGCAGGGAATAGGGGAATATGTCATATGGGGATTATATATGGGTATTCCTTTATTCCCTACTAAGGACTAGTAAGTTGCTTGGAAGCATCCGCGCATAAACTGAATTTTGTCGTAATTGGTCTGGCACATCCCTCTGTAGTGCACTTTTCCATCTTCGCCTCTGATGCACATGGTAGCCGAACACCCTTCCTCCCTTACTTACTGCTGGTTAACAGGAAAAACGGGAATGTAATGCCTATGTAATACATTTTCCTTTACTCCCTGCTGAGCCCAGTAAGCTTAGGTGGTGAGCGATCAAGCGCTTACTAAGTTGCTTGCGGAGACTCACCCCAAGCCCTAAACTGTAATCCTCAGATCCTAAACTTAAACCCTAAACCCCAAAAAGCCTCTCTCTCTCTCTCTATCTCTGTCTCCTAAACACTAAAAGCCTAAACCCTAAAAGCCTAAAGCCTAAACCTAAAAGCCTAAACCCTAAAAGCCTAAGCCCTGAACCCATGCCTTGACTTGAGATGGAGACGAGCTTCACTCCAAAGGAACAGACGCCTCCTCGCGCCCGTCTTCTTCAGGCAAGGGTTATATAGGGAAATATAAGGATTACATGGAAATAATGGAAAAGAAAATGGAAACTACTATTTAGGGTTTGGGGTTTAGGGTTCTGGGTTTGAACGTTGGAAATCACCACCTTTGCTATCACTCTCTTGCGATTCTTGCAACCCGAAGGGTCTAAGGCTTTGGAAAAGAAAATGGAAGCTATTGTTATAGGGTTAAAATTGTAGGTTATTATAAAGGGGCGAAAAAGGGATAATGGAAAAGACAATGGAAGCTACTATAGGGTGACAAGGGGGTGTTTGCCTGGACTACATTTAGTAAGTGCTGCCGCCTCCGCTTTGGACTCGGACAGCCTGCTTGCCAAAAAAAGCGATGTAGCTAGACGGAAGCTAAGAAACTTTTTTTTTTCGGATTCAGTATCCCCAAGCAATTGCTACATCCGCAAACTCGTACATACATAACAAAACTTGCCCGGTAAACATCCAACCCCAGTCCCTTTTGCTTCACTTTGAGGTAGTCGCAGATGCGAGCAAGTGTTGCCTCCGCGTTCTGCTCCGTCCTTTGCAGCTAGATTGAGAATGCGTGCAGCCTGGTTCTGCTAAAGAATCGGGTGGCCTCAGGTCTAACACGATCGCTAGTACAACTTAGGTGGACCCCCAACCCTGCAATAGTAACTATATGGGATAATACTGATTATATTAGGGTCCTACTCTATTCCTAATTAGAGGGTGGGAGATCCTCCTAAGGTACAACATTGTTGTACCAGCGCGTATTTGGTAGTTTCCCAAAATATCAGGACGACAACATGGAGCCCCAAAAATACATTTTGAAGATCAGCGATGGGACCCTAAGAATGGTTTCCCTAATTTTGGCATTGAAAAGTCTTGCAGTTGCTCAGACATGGGGCATCAGGACTTCTCCAACAACACGTGGAGGCTCAGGGTAGCTGAAACCCGAGAAAAACTGCATGCGTGATCCAACTAGGAGCTACGCAAGTCCCCAAGTACGGCCATAAGTGGGTTTAATGGTGCTTTCTCAAAATTAGGGATATTTTTTGTGTGTACGTATAATAAGAATTAAAGTATTTTGGGATCTATGTTGGGGTCCCCTATTTAGGGAAACTACCAAATTTGCCCAGCATTTCCAAACACCGTCTGGCTCACAATGTGATTTTACAGTCTGGTGTGGACCTTCATCACTCATAGTGGATGTGCCTTGTACCAATTTTTTGAACCACAAAAAAAGATTCTTCTTGTAAAGCACGAATACCACAAGAAGACTAGAATCTCACTCTATTTGGGACCTAGAACGATACCTCATTGTAAGACAAATCCCCAAAGCCGTGATACCCCAAACCGGTAAAAATCAAACAATATACATGGGTGGTTGCCAAAATTGTGGTCCTTTTTTGGATCCCCCTTATAATACAGCGCCAAATATTCAGGGTACCCAATAAGGGACCATAATTTGGACAACCACCCACATAGACACATGTCCCCAAACCCTAAATCCTAAACCCTAAGGGCCGGGCCTTGGAATCCGCACGCCGGTGGCCTTGCACACCTTCCAAACCATTTTCTGCAGCTTGGTCACCTGCAACGTAGCTCAGTATTGGGTCCTTCCCTCACCCATTAAAAGTCTAGGTTAGGAGGACCCCCCACCTTGTAATAGTGGTATGATTGGAATATAAGAGGACTAATACAATCCTTATTTTCCATAATAGTCATTATTACTTTAGGGTTTAGGGTTTAGGACGGTCGTATTAAGAGCTCTATATACTGACATCATAAGTACTATCCAACTGTTAAAGAGTGGGGGCAGTACCCGAAAAAAGGCTCAGTAGCTTCATGGGAGCTCATCGACACAAGTGCTTTGGGGACCTTCAGGATATTTGGGCCTTATTACGGGCGGATTCTAGAGGTCTTCTAATCGATAATATCAAAATTGCTGTTGCTACCACTCTTGGTACTGCATAGCATGTATTTACTGGGTGCTTTTGCGCTGTCTATGCTTGGTGGCCTGGTGTTAGCATGGTCACCAAGCAGCATGACGTCTGAAACCCAAAACATCTGACAGTTTCAGATCACGGTCCCCTTGCACACCCAAAACTTGATCCTTAAGAGGGGAACGCCCGAGGACCAATCAGCTCTAGAAACCCTAGTCAATCTCTACTCGGAGGGTCAGCGGGACTTATACAAAAGGTTAACAATACGCATAACTGCGGATATCACATGGGTTGGAGGGGTTGAAGGGGGGTATACCTACTAAGTCCCCTGACACAAAAGATCTTTTGTTGAAAGGCCGGCCCTAACAGAGTGTACCCCAGGGGGGGGGAACGGGGGAAGGGAACTGCGGGAGGGAGTTCAGGTTCGGGTTCGGGTCACGGGCTTA